AGACGAAGGATCCAGGCTTGACCTGGTGAAGTAACATGGGACAGGTTCAGAGGGTTTAAATGGAACATCCAAGCAGGAGTGTTAGGTATGGCAATTGGTGAGGAACATTAGATGGGCTCCTTAAATAGGTAATATAGAAAGTTACACAAGTAGCCAATTGTATGCTCTTCCTGTAGTAGCTCCTTACGGAACTACATTTCTAAAAATATGTTAATAAAGTCGAAAGACCAAAGAGGTCATCTTAACACCGAAAAAAAAAAAGATATAATCAATCAATAATAAAATTATTTATTTTGTGTTTACTCTAAAATATATGTTATAGATATAATTTTTTACATTGTTATTTATATAGAGTAATTAGTTAAACTAAAATTATTTATATGTAACTTCAAATATAATAGATATAATCTTTTATTCAATATAATATTATTATAGTATTTTGTATAATTTATTTTAAAAATATAATTAATTAATTTATATCATGTGCAACCAATAAAATTCTTTTCTCCCATAAGTACATCCCTCTATAAATACACAGTATAGTTTATTCCCAAGAGGGGTGTACTTATGAAGGGTTGACTGTATCTTTTTGTTATCATATTTTCTGCCATCTTCATTCCAGTTTTGTTTTTACCTTGTCATCATATTCGTCTTTGTCACCATATCTGTCTTCATTGTCATATCCATCTTCTTCTTTATTACCATATCCGTTTCTATCTTCATCACCATATCCATCTTCATCTTCATTACCATATCCGACTCAACCCTAGTTACTATATTTGTCTTTGTCTTCATCACCATATCTGTTTCTATCTTCATTGCTATATCCATTTCTACTCTAATTACTATATCTGTCTCTGTCTTCGTTACTATATTCATCTTTAACCTTGTTATATTTGTCTTTATTGTCATATTAATATGATATTTATTATTTATATTTTTAAAGTGATTTAATTTTCTTTTATAATTAATTTATATATTATATAAGTATAATAAAAATGTAAAATATACATATAAATTATATAATAAAATTAAAATTAAAACATGAATTATATATTTATTTTTATTTTTTTAATATTATTATAATATATTTACAATGATTTTTTAATAATAAATATATAATTTTATAAGTATAATATTTATATTTTTATAATATAATAATAATACAAAATTATATTTTTATAATGCATTATATAATGCCAAATAACAATGTTAATAATAATATAGTAATTATATAATAACAATATTGTTAAATTTTTTAAGAGTTCAGCAAAGTATTAAGTGAGTGAAGCTTATTCTTACTAAAAAAACCAATAAAAATTAAACAGAAATATCAAATGACTGTTGAGTAAGCAAGTTTGCTCTTACTAAAGAAACCAATAAAAATAAAACAGAAATATCAAATAACTATTAAGTAAATGAAGCTTACTCTTTAATTCTAGGCCTTGTGCCAGCAGTTCATATATGATATAGTAAAACACTAAGCAAACATACTATTATATATAAATATTATACATCTATAAAACAAATATATAGTAATAAGTAGTAGATTATGTATATAAAATTATTATATCTTATTATACTTTTAGTAATTGATTTACTGGAAATCAGGCAACTATGATCAACACAAATCAGTTCTGTAAATAAAATTAATTATCCATCATCTAAAAATAATGTTGACTTGGACAGAAAAGAATAATGATCATGTTTATCTAATATATAAAATTTCTAAAAGTACATGTAGCTAAATTAGAAAGTATATGAATTTCATGACTAATTGAATAGAAAAAATCAGTAACAAAAATTTTTGATAATTGGATAAAACAGCGGAACAGATAATTTACTATATATTTTTCAATTTTGAAAAGTACATGAAACTTCATTTATATAATCTAATAGGTATTTTGAATTTAAACTGCCTCTTATTCAGTAGCATTTAGCAAAAATTCTGTAAGAATAAATATTTTTGCAGATGCAGAAAATACATAAAATTTCATATTGTTATACTATACAACTTTGCAGATATGAAACCTGCAGATTTTTTATTATTTTCACTTCCTTTATTTATTATCTGCTAATAAATTGATCAAAAATTTTTTTATTATAAATTTTTCTATCTGTATACTGATCAGTTCATGTAAACACATAATTCAGATTTTTTATTGTCAGCTAAAATTTGATTTTGATCACATTTGAACACAAAAAGAAATCCAAAACTTATCTTAAAATAGACAGACAAATTATAAAATAGAAATATTTTTTCAATCATATGATAAGTACAAACTGAACTAAAAGTGAAGAATTCAAACCTTTAATATGATTAACATAAAATTTAGATAATTATATTTCATTGATTAAACCAAAAATCATACTTATCTTTATATTAAGAAAAAAAGATTATTCTATAACTAAATTTTAACCAAATAATACAATATAAAGAGAAGTATTGAAAGATTATATAGTATAAAGAACTAAATCGATATTCATTTAATATAAGCCTTACTTTTATATAATAATATCCAAATACATTTCATTTACAAAAACTATTAAAGAACTAAAGATGAATAAAAAAGCAAAATAAAAAATAATAATTAGGTTAATGCAACTGATGTAAAAATTGATTAAAAGTTATCTATTATCAATAAGCATTTTCTTTGTTTATTACAAAGTCAAAAAGACAAAGAAAAATAATGAAAAGAGAAAGAAGATAATTGTAATTCTTGTTTATTTAGTTATACAATTAATATTTATATAAAAATTTGTAATTCACTTTTTAGTTTAGTAATAATATTATATCTAACTTTTATTTTGATAGTAAAGATTTTTATAAATAAAAATAAATGTATTAAATTTTTATTTAATAATAATATTTTGTATAAACCTACAGAATGTAAGATATGTAAAGTAAACTTGTTTAGAAATAATAAAAGATTCATTTGTATAAATAAAAGTAGAAAAAGTCAGTTTGATATTCAAAGACTTCTTTTTTTAAAAAGAACATATGAAATGCAATTTTACAATAATGTTTAGCTATTTTTGGCTATCTAAATGCAATTATTATTTGATTAAAAAGATAACAGCCCATTCATCAAATACAATAACTGATTATATGAAATTCTATTAAGAATTAGTTATTGATACTTTAAAAGATTATGAAGACAAAATAGATAAAAAGGAAATTATTGTTGAATTTGATGAATCTAAATTTGGAAAAATAAAATATCATTGTACAGAGTTATTAATAGTATATAAATTATTGGTTGTATTAAAAAAACAGAACAAAAATAATGCTTTTTAATAAAAGTGCTGAAATATAATGAAGAAACAATCATAGATATCTTAGATAAATATGTTAAAAAAAGATCTATTGTTTATACAGATTGTTGGAAAGATTATCTAAATATCAATAAACTAGAATTTAAACATAAAACTGTTAATTATTTAGAAAATTTTGTAGATCCCAAAACAGGTTCACATATGAATACTATAAAAGAATTATGAAATAGAATCAAGTTACAGATTGCTCTACAAATTCAAACTAAAGACTTGATTAAATTACACTTATTCGAATTTATTTGATGCAAAGTAATCAAAAACAGACTCTAAGATGAATTTATTAAAGCACTATATTCCATAGCATATTACCAATCTAATGATATAACATTGTAACAATTGCATGTATTAGTATATACTAAACTATAGTTCAATATTCAGTTATATGAAAAAAGCCAAAAGGAATTCAAGTTATTCAAATTTAACAAAGATCTTCTACTTATATTATATAACATGATCACAGAACTTAATATAAAAGATGAACTATTATAAACAAGCAATATTTTACAAGATAATGAGCTTATATTTAACCTTACTGCTGGCTCTGCAGCAAATACTACACAAACATAGTTATTAGCTACTATATTACACAATACTGCTTAGACACAAATACTAAAAGAAACAAATGCCTTTCTGTTTTATAACATATTCCTACTAAAACTATTAAACTTACAACTAAATCTTCCAAAACTCAATTAATACCTAATCAATATTAAAATAAAAAATAACCTAAGTTACAATTATTTAATACACAACTAATATTCAGATCAGAACTATCCAATATTATAGTTACAGCATTACTAATCTTTACAACTACAATATCTGATAATTTTAATAACACCAAATCTACATATAGCCAAATTATTCAAAAACAACTCAACATATCTAGGTTCAATGATATTGATAACTCAGAATGAGCAAAGACTATACAGATCAGAATTACAGACTAAATCAATACCTTATTTGATCAACAAACTTGGTCATATAAGAAAATTGCCAAAGCACTTCAAACATCAGCTCACATTCAGGATTTTATTAATCATAAACATGTTACTATACCAACTGAATTTGTAATACCACCTGCAATATTTCTTAAATTTAGATATCTTGATATCAGATTCTTTAATACCTTTATCAGAAACCCAAATACTACTCTTGCATATCAAAAAGAATATATTAACCTATACAATAATGCTCTAACTACATATAAACAGACTAACCAAATTACAATTACAAATACAACTATATACAAAACTATCAATATTATGCTTAAGCAAATGCTTATTGCACAATATCTCTCTAATCTTAATTTTACCTGCTACACTTTCTTCATAATCTACAAAACTATCTACTATGCAAAAGGCTTTTTGCAAATTCAAAATAAAAATAAACAAACTTCTAAGTAAATTAGAGCCATAATTACTAATTTATTTTATAAAAAACTTATTTTACTATCACAAGACCTTAGTAAAATACCAGAACATATCAGAGCCTTCCTACCATTTACACTTCTAATTATACAAAGATTATATACAAGAGCTTTGTTAATGGACTAAAAAAATTTTCAAGTTCAACAAATTTACAGACAACTATTTTGCAAAACTTCATATATTACCTGAAAGATATCAAGAACTCCTTTCAAAACTATAAATCTATTTTTCAATATTAAACAAACAATTATTACAATACTTTTCATACTTTAGATACAAACTTGCAAACTATTATACTGTTACTACTGTTAAGCTACAAAAACGACTATAACTCTTGAACCACTGGACAGAATTTGATGAAACCACCACCATTCGAATCAGCTCACTAAGACGATTCTAACGAG